ATCATAATGCTCACTGGAGAGTAGGAAGACTAGCCTTCTGTTTGTTCCCCATGCTTCTGGCATTAGTGTACAGGCATCTGAGTCCTCCAGTTGGTACGCTTGATTTCCTGACGTATTGAGGGAGAACGATTCCCTCAGCTTTCTTAAAAGTGAGTCTCCTATTGTCCCCAATTTCACAGCTTTCTTGTGTGCTTATCCCCAGGCATGCTCAGTTAGTGTTTCCCCATCCCCTGGTGATCTTAGTTTAAAGCCCTATCTAGAAGATCGGCCATCCTGGTCAAGAACAGAGATTAACCTCTGTGCATGAGGTGGATGTCATCCCTTCCGAGGAGTCCTCTCTCCCTGAAGTGTGTGCTGTGATCAAATAAACCAAAGTCCAACACTGGATGGACTCCAGTCCATCGCTGGAGTTGTTGGTTCACTTCTTTGACATATCCTCCCTCCTGTGTCCATGGCCCGCAACTGGGAGCACAGAGGAAAAGACTACCTGTGCCCCCAACCCCTTGAGCTGAGCCCCCAGAGCCCTGTAGTCACTTATGACCCAGTTCAGATTACTCTTGGCCATGTCATTAGTGCCTATGTGGATGAGTCTGGGGTAGTGGTTTGATGGCCGGATGAGCCTAGGGATCCTCTCCATAGCATCCCAAATGCCCCAGGGAGGCAGCAGACCTCACAGGCTAGGGGTTCCAGACAGCAGATGGGTCCCTCAGTACCCTGCAGGAGGGAGTCCCCCCCTCCCCCCCACCACCACCCTGCATCTCCTCTTAGGTAGGAGACCTTCACTGACTACCCAGCTCCTCCCCTGGTATCTCCATCAGAGTCTCCTTGTGCAGGGTGAGAGGAGCATACCTGTTGTGCAGTGCTAGGGGAGGGGCAGCCCTAGCCCTGCATGTCCTAGAGCCTGAGATGACTGGCTTCCAGGTAGCTCTGTGTGGGTCTTTTCAGCCAGCCTTCCTGTTGGCCACTATTCTCTTCTATCTTCTTCTCTTCTTCTTCATTCTTCAGGAGAAGAGCCTGACTGGAGTAGTAATCAATCTCCTGCTCATGGGCCCTGATGGCACAAAGTCTGCTATGTCCCCCTGCCCTGGCAGCAGGGAGCTCCCAGCCCCCACTCCATGATTGCAGAGTGGGAGCTGAGAGATTCTTATCTCCCAGCCCCAGCATTGAGACTGTGGAGCTTGGGCTGGGAGATTCTTACCTTCCAGCCCCAGATCCATGTCCAATAAGAATCTCCAACCCCCGCTCTGCGGTCATGGAGCCAGGGCTGGAAGATAAAAAATCTTCCATGCCAGGCTCCATAGTCACAAAGCAGGGGCTGGGTGATGAGAATGTCTCAGACTCCACTCCCCAATCATGATCACAAAGCCAGGGCTGGGAGGTCCCTCCTGCTGGGGCAAGGGGACATTGCCCCCACCCAGGCTTCGGTGCAGAGTCCCTCCATAAGAACAGGCAGCTCTTGGGGGCAGGGAGCAATATCTGCTGAATTGCTGACCAGAAGCACATTTGCTCCTGGTTGTCCATCTACATGTGCCATACTGTGAAGTAATTACTCTTGAGTAAATTTGCTACTTGAATTTAGAGAGAGAATTTATTCATGATTAGAGCAAATTACTGCGCAATAACCACCTGCACTTGTAGATGGTGACGCTTACTGTGCAGTAATTTGCTCTAATCTTGAGTAAAGGATCTTGTGTCTGCTGTCTCTGATCCCTGCTCTGTAAAATAATGATAATGAGACATGTCTTAATTTATTTGTAAATTACTCAGACACAAAGTAATTGTGACTATAAATGTAGACTGTAACTTTTTTCCTTTGGTGCATTATACTTCTGGCCATCATCCTTCTAACAGTTCTTTCTGCTTGAAGTTGAGAATAATAGATTTAACTTCCTAATAGACACCATGGAGTTTCAGTGCACTGTGGTAACATTTCTGGTTTTGATTCTATTTATTTCCTCTTTTCCTCTTGGTTGCATAAATATGTTACATGCGTTTGTAAAAGTGGATTGAGAATATTGCTAAGGAGGAAAGGAAGACAACAGTGAACAACAGTGGCTGAGAAACAATAAGTACACTTAATTGTTCCATCCTGAATTTGTGTGCCAATTCTGGTGGGATCATTCTTTCACTTCCCCTCCCCTACCCAAAATGACTGGTCTCCACTTCTAAGAAGTCCCTTCGTCTCTTCTCTGAGTACATCTTTGCATGGTCATGATAATTGATTTCCAGATGAATTAACACACCAGACCTGTGATGGATATGTTTTAAAAGCAAACGATTTAAAAAAGCAAAAATAAGAAAATGGGAGAGAGCCTGGAGGCAATGCTCTTTGAAGGCTCCTGGGGTTTCCACTTCGGAACAGCTGCCCTGTTTGGTGAACTTGCTGGAAGCCCTAGGAAAACATCTTCTGCCTTCTCTCTCTCTGAGATGGAGAGTGGTGAAGATGAGTTGCTCTGGGACAGGGACTTGCCCTGCTGAAATACTTTATAAGAGGCTTTCTGAAAACAAGATGTTGAAGTCTTAAGCCAGTGATTCTCAATCAGGGTGCTACAGCACCCAAAGGCACCTTGAAATCCTTTCAAGGATCCCTCAGGGTGCCACACAGGGTGCTTTTACACATGCTCTGGGGGTAGGGGAGTGCTTTAATTAGAACAGATCTGAGAGCCACTCTAATTAAAGCACTGCCACATCTTGTGTGTCAATGTCCCGGCACTTGATGGTGGTGGGAGCACCTGAACTAAAGCTTGTTTGACAAGCTTAAGATGAAGTGACCCTGCCACCATTTTTAAACGCCAGGGCACTGATACATGAGATTCAGGAGGCTGCTGGAGCGCAGCAATTGCCATGCTCCAGCAGACTTGATTAATCCAACGTACTGGAATTCCAGCACGTGGGAGCAACCTCCACACTTGTGTATAAGCACCCACAATGTTTAATGCTGTTAGGTGTGCAAACACAATTCACAAGATAAAAACTTAGAGATTTCAAATAGGAATTCATAGCATTCAAAACATTCTGACCTGTTGTGGGTTTTCTGAGTTCTTTGCAACAGAAGAATTGCTCCGCTATTTTTCTGTGGTCATGTCATCAAAAAACTGAATAAAAGTTAAAGAGCTGGCATTTCCAAGGGTGTTTTGAGTCTAAGGAGGGGTCTCATGAGTCTGAAAAGGTTGGGAACCACTGGGTTCACAGGAACCACATGGCTTAGAATTGCCATGAGATTGAGTTAAATTTGGGTGACAAGGTGATTTCTCATTTTATCATTGGAAGTGCAGAGATAGTGTAGCCTTAAAATTAATTAATAATAGAATATAATGATGATATTTACACCTCTTTGCATGTCAGCACTCCTACCTCTCAGCACAGGGACTTTTTTATTTGGAAAAGGGCTTCAGCATAGGGTGTACAAGCCAGACCAGAACTTGGCGTATATGGGGGGGGTTGACTTGCCCTGAGAATTGTGGTACTGTGGCTTCACTACCACTGTTATTTTACTACCAGTGTTGTCTTTCTGAGTTGTGGTGGGTTTTTGTTTTGTTTGTTTGTTTGTTTGTTAGTTTCTTGGAGGGGGGCGTTATTTCACAACAAAAGAATTGCTGTATTCTTTTTTCTTCAATAAAAAAAATGAGTGAAAAAATAGGAGCTGGCATTTTCCAAGGGGTGCCTGTAGTATATGGAGGGCTGCCTTGCATCTAAGGAGTGCCTTGAGTGTAAGGATGGGTACCTTGGGTCTAGAAAAGGGTGCCTTGCATCTAAGGAGGTATGCCTTGAGTCTGTGGAGCGGTACCTTGTATCTAAGGAGCGAGTGCCTTTTGTCTAAAGAGGCATGAGTGACTGGTGCCTCCTGAAAGCAGGGGGAGCACCAGCCCTACCGACAGCATCAGTGTCGGCTGTCG